CTTTTATTTATTATACAAGCCTTGAAAATATAGCTAAAACCATTTTGAAGTTTTTTTGTACAGTTCGAAGTTCATACAATTGATCTAATTTTATTTAAATAAAAAAGAGCCTGCAGGTTTATATAAATTGGAAGGGTTTAAAGCGATTGCTTTAATTTTAAGTTTTTTAACACATGAAACATGAGTCGTGTGTGTGTAGAGAAAATTATAATACGATACCAAACCAACTATCCTATCACACAACACGGGACAAAGTTGATATCTTACAATGTCGATTTCAGAAATTTATTTCTATCATCTCTTTCAAACATACTGTGACTTGTGATTGATAAACATGTGAAACTTTTTATTTGATGTATAAAGTCGTGTGGTTTTAGAACTACCTAGATTGAGGTGGATTGATAGGTGGATCCATTCTTTTTGGTGGTTTGCATCAAAGAACATTGATGGTGCACATCAAATGGCATGTTTGGTCTATCACGAATGTTCTAGTGAGGGATGTTCTAGAGTTCTAGTATATATCTTTCACCATGTTATACAATACTTCTCCAACGCACTAATCCTTGGAATTTGTCATATATTGTGACACTTACTGAAAGTTGGATTTCTTTAATGATTTCTCCCCTCCAATTTAAACCTTTTCTGAGAAGAAGCATTTTTGGACCGTTTACCTTACCTTGTACAACTAATTAAGATTTCAAAGCATTAACTATTTAAAACGCTGAAAGAGCCAAACGTATACGTGGACATAATTAAAGTCGTTCAGTTTTTATGAACGTTACTAATCTGGTTTTGAACCATTTTATTTATTTAAAATTTTAAATCGAACCACAATGTATTTTTTTAGGAAAATTTTCAAATTTTCATTTCAAAAAGAAAAACGAAAAACATGAAACTGATCCATAAGGACCATACTAGTTTTGATTTCAATTTTTGCAGTAGATTTTCTAAGCTATGACGTTTTAATTTATAAATAAAACTTGAACAAATATATGTATTGAACATTTTTATATAGATAGGTGAAAACGATTTTTAATATATTTGTTTTGTTTAATACTTAAAAAAAGTAATCAAAAGTTAACTAAAGACATCATCATATTACCGAAACTATTTTTTATCGTTAATTATGAAAATGGTTAGGTTTGGTAAGTTTGGGCATTATTCTCTCTTTCTCAAGTTTGTGAATTGTGTGGGGTTCTGGTCGGTGTACTATTATATTCAGGTGCTCTTAATTAAATAATTGTTAATGTCTATCGTTAAATAAAACAAAAATGAAATATTTGGAAGACATGATAATATGATTTTTTTTTTTCTTTTTATCATGACAATATTGTTATTTGGGAAATAGTATTATCTTCAGGCAACTATATAGGAATTTGTTAGTTTTGCAAAAGAGATAAGAGACACGAATCTGTATGATCAATATAAGAAAATAAACGAGGCTTTAGTTTCGGTTTTGCTCGCGAGAACACACATTTTCTCGGTACAACACACGTCTAACGTAGGAGACATCTCTTATTTTCTCCAGGGGAATTTCTTAGAATTACCACTGCTTGGCTTTTATCATGTTTGGTTTTCTAGATTGTTTTCAGAAATCAAAGATAGAATTAAGAGGATTAACTTAAAGTGTATGTTTATTATTGGATCAAAAATAGAGACATGTATCTCGTTTAATGCTAGAGTTTTGTTGATGTTGAGTTAAAAGGCGTTTTAGTGTGGCGATAGAATCTTATTGTAAGATAAGATAGTCTTAATAATTTTATAGTGAATGTCTGAGATTGAGAACGTATGTACGTTGATAGAGTCGTGTTACTATAATTCTTCATTGCTTCATTTTGTTATTTGTTAGTATCAAAGTTTATCTATTTAAATCTTTACAAATTTAAACAATAGAGAGTATATAAGTTCGTTTAGATTTCACATCGACTATATTTTTCTTTAATATGTTTGGTTAAAATTATGATAATTTATTTATTTAATTTAAACTGAATCTCATTTTTAGACCAATATGAATTTTCAGCTAACAAAATTAATAAACAACAGAGAGTAAATTTGTCTATTAAATCCAAAATTGTTTTTGTTTTTTAGGTCAAAACCAAACCCAAAATAGTTAAGCCGACAAAAATGAGGGGGAAAAAACAACAATAATATTTCCAAATATGATCGTTAAGTCGGCCAACTACAATCCACACCGCCCAATCTATTAATCCGGCCAGCCAATAAGAAAAAAGATTTTTGATTTCTTTTTGAACTAAGAAAAAAGAGTTCACATCACATTATTATTGTCGACTTAAATAATAATTTTAATGATTTTTCTTACCCGCGATAAAAAGTATACATGCAAATTTAAATGGCTTCTTAAGGCGAAGAAATAATATAATCACGTTGACAAATTAAGATATTTTAAAATATACTAGATACTAGGACCCCTAATGAATACAATCATCTAACCACAAGTTTATTCATTTGACAGTAGTTAAATTACCAGATTTAGTTATTTTCAAAAGTAATAAAGCGGCAAAATCAAAATTAGAAGAAACTGATTTATATCAAATTATATTAAATCAATAGTCACTTTTTCAATACATTCTCTGATTGACACATCAGCTTATTACATTTTTTTTACTCTTTTTTTTTTTTCACGGAGGATTTTGTGTATTCATATCTAATATCTACCGTTTTTATTTGGCTTTTTTTTTTCTCAAAATTCTTTTTTTTCTTTCATCCCACGATCTCTATCTCTTCCACTTCTTATCCTCCAAAATTTCGATAACTACTGTATCTACAAAAGAAAAAGATGGTCTTCTCATCATCATACATCGATTAGTCTCATAAATCAGTTACTTTTTTCACCCCGATCTATCAATTTACCATCTCCAATTTCAGTTTTTTTTTTTAATTTTGTTATAGCTGTCAAAGATTACTTAACTGTATCATGCTTAATAGATAACATTTCAATTGTTTACAGTTTCGCCAAATATGTCTTCAAGCTCAATAAAACATTCAGAAGCTCTTGGCAGATCAAAAAACAGTTCCAGATTTTCATTCGGTATCATCCAATTTTCTATGTTTTGGATCAGTGTTTAATTTTCGGTATTATACAGTTCACGTTTAATTGCTTATCACTTTTCCATGGTCTCAACATCAAACCTTCAATTTTTCTGGATAATTGAAGGGAGACTAGAAATGGACCCACGCAACGCGTGGGTTTAGTAATATATACTCAATTTTTTTTATAGTTTTATAAATTACATTATTTTAAATATTTTTTATTACAATACTATTTGAAAACTATATGTAATTCTATCGGTAAAAAAGGTTATATAAATATAATATAAATGTCAGAAATGATAATTGTATAGATTTACACATCTATTTATAATACGCTATATATATTAGACGTTTTTTTTTTGTATTGACTTAGTATCTTATGACCGTTCATTATCTATTTTGTCTTTTAGTGCATGAATTCTTCTGAATAACATTTTCTTTTATAATTTTCAAAACTCAAATGTGATATTTTAAATGTGGTTTATTTTTCCAATTTATATATATTGTATTTAGAAGCACAATATATATATATATATATATATTTATATCTTATTTTATATATTGACTTTCTCTTTAGGAATTTAGCTTTCTGAGAATAATTTTGTCACTCAGTTCTGATATTTTCATATTCTATTATTTTTTTTATTTTTTTTTCTATCTTATTAAATTCAATGTTGCAATTGTGCTCTTTCTGCCTATTTTTGATATTTTTAAAATAAACTTTTATATTTTTAATAAGTGCATAATGTTTGTATTACTATCAAATATAATTTTATATTATATTTATGATAAGCTAAAAATTAAAAGTATACATAATTATATTTTAGTTTTGTTTTAAATTATTATACACGATACTATTTAGCTATATTTTAACATTTGGCTTACTATAATTAACAAACTAATCAACTATCATTTTAATTAGTAATATGCCATAAGATTCATCACTAATTCACTATATAGATTTTTGAAAACTAAAAAAGGTATGTCTTTTCAACTTTCATACAATTTTAGAATTACCCAACATATTGATTTTTGAGTATGTCATGAATCATTACTATATTTTCTTTTAAAAGCTAATAAATGTATGATCTTTCAACTTGCATACAATTTTAGAAATATCCATCATATTTATTTTGATTATATCAATTTTAAAACTGAAATATCCATCATATTGATTTTTAATATATCAATTATAAAACTGAAATGTGTATAATTTTTTAAATATGATTAATCTTAAACATTTTTTCGCTAAAATTTAAATTATATTTTTATGTATTAATTTATATTTCTTTGCTTTTCACTTATAATATTAATTCATTTGTATTTAACTTAAATATTTTATAATCATAAGTAACAATAAATAAAAATAAGTATGTATTGAATGAACATTTTAAAGATGTGGTGGATGATGATGTGGATAGCCTAGATAGAGAGAGAACTCTCCCATTATATATATAGATTCCACCTAATTGGCAATTGTTTTACACGTGTATTTATTCTCACCCCAACCAATTAATTAGATTAGTAGCTTATTTTTATTTTATTTTTACTTTTTGTTACAGCTTTATGAAATATACATACTATCTTATATTAGTATTTGATTAAATTCCCCAATTATTAAAATATTTTAGATTATAACAAAATAAATGTTTGATGCCAACATATATTTTAATTTTAATAAATACTCCTAATGCTAGTTTGGGTATAAATCAAGCGGCCGCAAAATCATATTCAGTTAATCATAATCGTAAATTTCATCTATGTTAAACAAGTAAGTGGTTGAGTTTTGGGCCATGTCTATAAGTGATCATTGTGTAAATAAACTTTTAATTCTAATGCTTTTACTAACACATGAGAAGCTTAACTCACAGTCTCACACACATCATACAAAAGTAAGTGACAAACCAAATCTGCCAGCAAAAAAAAAAAAAAAAAAAAAAATCTGCCGATATATATGTCTTTGGGAGAAGTAATTTCTTTTCTGACCAGTGATTGTCTTCCGATTTTGATACTGACCCAAATAACGTACCCTCTCGGGCTCTTCATGGTGCATTTTCTCGGTGACATTTACCATATACTGCTTTATTTTTGTGCCCATTAAAATTCTATGTTAGACTTCGTGCTATCATCTCAAGATGTTGTATGTAGAAGCTCTATTACTACAAAACTAAAAGAAAATGTGTTATATGGGAAGTACGGTTTAACAAAACAAAAACCCAAACATCATCACGAATTAACGCATACGAAGAAGAGATTATCAACACACAACATTTCCAAAAATTAACAAAGGGAAAAATAAGTAAAGAAATTAAAACACCAAACAAAACGTTGCACAAAAAGGAAGAGAAACACAAAACAAGATAACTACCACTTTTTAAGATATAACTGCCAACATGTAGATATATCTTTTAGGCACAAAACGCATTTCATTTATCTGCGACCAATGATTAATAAAACAGTACTAGCCAAAGTCTTATAATTGCCAGTTTTGTGTTCTCCAGCCAAACTCCGACCAGTTTATCGCCTGTACCGAAGTCGTTTAAAGTTGTACAAATGTAGAATCCCATGCTCGAACGTGTATTTGTAACCTTTCTTACGAGATTTCTCCCATTCCTTATTCACAATCCGGAACGCAATGTCTTCATAAGGCGGACCAGCTTCAAACCGGATTATACAAGTTTCAGAGCTTGTCCCATCTTTTTCTATAGTGCAAGTGGGAACTTCAGTGTCGTCTACTAAATCCGGGTAGAAGATGTTAAACTTGTACCCTTGAACAAATTTTGGAGGCGGGTTATGGTGATCATAATGTGTTTGGTTATACTTATTCCACTCGTAACCCGTGTGAACTCGGTTGAAATACTTGGGTTTTTTAGGCCGGTACTTGTCATGCCACTTGCATACCTTGGAATCAAGGTTCACTTCAGCATTAGAGCCAAATACAACATAACCTTCCTCCATTTCTCTCATTGTTTTCATTGCCTTAAGCTCCAAGTTATCTTCTCTAAGCCGCTTCTTCCTCTGTTCCTCCACCACAATCATCCGTTCCATCTCCAGAAGGGTGTTGTATTCCTTGGGATCGATTTCTTCTTCACGATCATCACCTGGTGAAAACGAACCAGCCTCATCTGATAGATTCATGCCGTTTACCTCCTCCTCATTTTCTTCCACCACATGATTAACTTGTTGATGTCTCCTGAGTATCTCAGCGTTTATTTCCTTCAAGCAAGCCTTTGCCTTGTATATATGGATGCGTTTAAGAACCGCTTCCCAATACTCCACTACTTTGGCTGCTCCAGATCGCAGCTGCGACTCGATGTCAAACTGCAGTTGTACAAGCTCCGCGTGGGTCTTCCCATCAAGAAGTTCTCTCACATCAGCTTCAACACCAGCGTGTAGTCCCCTTTCTTGAGCAGCAAGCAATTCCTCATCTCTTCTACGAGCTTTAGCTAACTCCCAATCGCATAGCACGCTAAGCGCCTCCCAATACTGTACCCGTGTTGGAGTTTCTCTATCCCAGTCAAGATACATTTTGATATCATTATGAAGGTCTTCCATATCTTTAACATTTAGTCCCTTGAAAACCATGTAAGGTTGTTCACTGAGCTTAATATCCATATCATCCACGTACTTGTAGAGGACATCAATAGGCTTCGCTCGACCTTCAAGTAACCTAATCTTTGACCTTACTTTGCTTTGTTCGAATTTGAACTCTTCTTCTTTCTTCTCCCAATCTTGAAACTCAGCTCGAGCACGTTCTCTAGCCAATAACGCCATATCTTCCTCATGTCGAGCTCTCTCTTCTGCTGTCTCTTCTCTTCTCTTCTTAAAATTTTCAACTTCTGCCATCGTTTCTCTAAGTCTTCTCCTCTCAGCTTTAACAGAGAATTTATCCAGTGATGCTCCATGATGTATATCTTTTTCAATCTTCTTCCGCCACACGAATGTCTCGGCTAGGTTCGAATCACCAAAAGGGTTTGAATCATTGGAGTACCCAAAAACTGACTCTCTCTTCAGCTTCTTTGAAGCACTTAATGCCTTCTTCAGAGCCCTTTTGGCCATATACTCCTTGATTTCGTCCGATGAAATCAAATCAATGGATTCATCTCTCTGCTTCTTATGCCTTCCATGTCCATCTCTCTTACTCTTACCATGAGAATTCATATTTTCTTGTTGGAGACGACGATCTGAGATCAGTGGGATGGTAGTGAAGGCGGTGGAAACTTCTCCTCTCCGATAATAATGGATCTTGTGATTGAAAACTGATTTCAGAATATCAAATTGTGTTTCGTTCGAGCCTTATGCGTTTATAGCTAAAAAAACTAAACCTAGCCCAAAACAAAAACTGAAGAAGGGTCAAGGGTATATATTTAATTTCTAAATTAATGTAATTTCCTATTCTAAAAGATAATTACCTCTTCCACATTTTTAAATAATCTCTTCTAATTAAATAATCTCTTCGCCAACGTAAAATATAAACTAGAAATTTATGCTCTATCACAAATTCAAAATAAGAAACAAGTTTACCTTTATTTTAAAATAAATATTTAGGAAAAAATTAAATCATTAAAATAATTAAATAAAGGAAACTCTTGTAGGTTCAAGCCCTAAACGTACATCACATTATGGAAAAAGAAATAAAAAAATTTTAGGAGGAAGAAGGTGAGAAGAAGCAAACATAAGAAAAATGCTAAGAAGAAGCAAAGCCAATTGACTAGAGAAATGTACGTTTTGCTAACATGTACTCAGTACTCACAAGACTACTGTTGGGAAGTATGAAAATCGCTCATGGAATCTGCACTCTTCCGCCATTTCTTCCTCAAAAGTAAGTACTCTAATTCAACCTCTCCTTCTTAGTCGATCCTTCGCGAAGATAATGTAGAGTTATAAATTATCGTTTGGAGGAATTGGAACTCAATCTTCCACAAGCGAGTCATGGTAATACTTGTCTTTTGCAAAACGAGTCTTCTACTCACTTGTGTAAGATTTTTGGTAGTATACAAAAAAATGGAAAAGAAGCCAAAGGTATATATTTATCCATCCATACACCAAAATGATCATCATCCTAATGGTGTCACTTAGTAGTAGTTACTACTTTATGCTTCATCCAGCACTTGCATTCCTCCATTCAAAGCCATAGTTTTTTTTTTTTTTTTTTTTTCTTTTTTTTGCCAAAGCCAAAAATTTTCTTTACTTTTTAACCATTAGATCAAATATTAGTTTTGGAAAAACAGAACATAGTGATTCAGAGAGCACCGCTAAATTATTGGGCCAATAATGTGAGCATTCTTATCAATCTAATAATTAACTATAGAAACAAAAGAATGATCCAAAAGCAACGGGCTTAAAAACCCGCTATTATACCCGACCCGTCTTGTCGGGTATGGGTCCATCGGTTACAATTGGTTTCATATATTTGTTTTCTTCCCCCAAACTTTTTCTTTTTAACATTCAAGTCCCTCCGACAAGAGGCGACGCGAAATTATAACTACCGAGCTCCGAGAGCTGGCTCTTTCTTCTTACCTCTCTCGGTCGGAATCTTCTCCGTCTGAAAATCTTGATCGATCAAAACGGTCGAATTTTGGTATTAAAAATTCTGGGTTTTTGAAGGAGTTGATCGATTTTTGAATGGCTTCTTCAAGTTTGGGGAGCTCAATCCCTGCACCAGGTAAAAACTTTCTTCCTGAATCTTCGATTTCGATTTCTCAAATTGATCAGTCTATTTGTTGTTTTGGTTGAAACTCTTGAATTGTGTAATTGGGTCAACATTGGTTTTGGCAATGTCTGTTTTATTATCTGATCAAGATTTTTGATTAGGAAACTAAATACTGTAAGTTTACTTTTTTTATTTTGTTGGCAGAAGCTGTTCAACTTCTGGTATCGTCTCTAGCTGATGATTCCTCTGTTGTTAGAGAAGCTTCCATGGCTTCTCTTAGAGATATTGCCTCGCTGTATGTACTATTTATCTCCTTTACTTCATAAACAAGACATGCACAATGAGTATTGGAAGATCTCTGATACTGAACTGTTGTGTGTGTTTTTTTTCTTCCAGGAATCCGCTTCTGGTTCTTGATTGTTGCTATGCTGTGTCTCGTGGAGGACGAAGGGTGACGTTCTGTTTGCTTGTTTTTTCTTTCTCTTTTGGCTGTCTTTTGTTTCCTTTTTATTGGTGCGTAAATTTGGTGCTGTTCGGTGTTGCAGCGGTTTGGTAACATGGCTGGGGTTTTTCAAGTAATGGCATTTAGTGTCGGTGTGTTAGAGAAAGGGGAGAGTGATGCAGTTTTCATGGGCAAGCTTGCTAAGATTGCCACAGCTGAGATAATATCTTCCAAGGTGTGTTTTGAAGGCTTAACCAATGTTAAAGATTTCTTTTTTTATACTTATTATAGTTAGACTAGTTAGACAGATTTACATCGTGAAGCTGGAATCGTAGATGGAATCATAAATGATACTTCTAGGCGTTTCACTCTTCACATTTTCTGTTTCAATGTGTCTGTTTTTTTTCCCTCTACCGTCTGTGGCATTTATGTGCCTAAGGCTAAGAACGTTTGTGGATTCTTCTTATGCGCTAGACATGAGATGAACCATATGCCGCTCATTCTTGTAGCAGAGGTTACCTAGAAATTCGACATATAGAATTCATGATTAGATGATTGAGAAATTCTCATCAAACATAAGCAACATAATTTCTAGAAAACAGGGTAAACTTATTGCAATGCTTACAAACTTTCTCGCAATTGTTCGTATATGTTTACTGATCGATTTTGGATCTTTTAATGGTTCATCATAACATAGGAATTAAATGCTGATTGGCAAAGGCAAGCTTCAATGCTGCTCGTCTCAATTGGAACACATTTTCCTGATCTTGTAAGTCTTTTTTTTTCCCTGTTTGCTAATTCAAAGGAGGATATCTTGACATCGAGAAAACAGCTGTTTGGTTAGTTCCATGTGACTGTACACTCCTGAGTTGTTGCCTTTTACTATAGACAAAATCTTGCTGTAAGAGGGTCACTGTACAACATGATTGGTGGTGATGCATTAACAACCCGTATTTAATTCCTGGCTCCGCATATATGTGAATCTAAATTTAAAGGAGTAGGTGGTTATCTTTGATAGATTGCATGACACAAGATGTGTAGCTGATGAGAAAACCATAGTAGAGACTTTCATCTATCATCATGTTAACTTCTATATTGAGGCATTTTAGATAGTGTCATGAATAAAGCTGGTCCAGTGTCTCTCTACTGTCATTTATGAGGTAGATGGCAGCCTATTCCGTTAGACGTGGGGCTTGATTTTCCTTCACCAACCTCTTTTTTTTTTTTTGGATAAAATCCAAGTTATCTGATATTTTTTCATTGATATGGACAGATGATGGAAGAAATATTTCTTCATCTGTCTGGTCCGGCTACAGCTGCACCTGCTATGGTTCAAATACTTGCTGACTTTGCTTCATCTGATGGTTAATTTCTAACTCTCATTCGCGGCCCTTTTAACTTTTTCGTTTCTCATATTGAAAAGTTTATAGAACTTGCAGTTCTCTGATATTTTGAATTACTTTCATATTTCCTTTGAAGCTTTGCAGTTCACTCCACGCCTGAAAGGTGTACTTTCAAGGGTGTCGCCTATTCTTGGGAATGTTCGGGACTTACACCGACCAATATTTGCAAATGGTACAGTGACATTTTTGTAATCGGTTTTTGTTTAGGGAGTGGAACTGTTTTATAGAAACTTCTACTTTGTGCCAATTTCCCTCCCCCAACCTATTAGGTTAGTTATTCTGGCCTAATAGAAGGCTCATCAGGTCAGAGTTTGTTTTCTTGCTGAACAATATGGCAATTTAATTCATTCTAACATAAAAGTAGGTTATTCACCTGTTGATCTGTACATCTTCGCTCTATAATGTTGGAAGAGATGATCAACATATATCATGTAATTTGTGCTAATATCAAATAGAAGGAAGAGCTTGTATAATTTAAATACCCCAGCTAGTCTCTTGTACTATCTTATTTTTTGCTTATTTTCTCTCATATGTGAATCTTTGACTTTGTGTCTAGCATTTAAGTGCTGGTCTCAGGCAGCGTGGCTATACATCACAGATCTTACCTCAGATTCTCCGCTTGACAGTGATGTCATGTGAGACCACTTTCTTTGTTCTGTTTATTTCTACCAGTTTTTGTGTTGAACCCCTCTCAAATCAAGGGCTTCATCTGATGCAGGTCAAATCTGAATTCAGTTTTTGAGCTATTGTTGAGAGTTTGGGCAATTTCTCGAGATCATAAGGTGAGTCCCTGATCTCTTTTAGCATTTTTCTCCACTTTAGGTTTTAATAGTATTGCATGTTTCAATTAAAAAATATTATTCAAGAGATTACCAAGGTAAGAACATGGTTCATAAATGTTCACAGACTGTTATTTTATAACAAAGACAATGGAGAAAGAGGGTAGGTAACTTTATTAAGATCAAAGAAGAAAGGAAAGTTTGTTTTCGTTTTTTTTTTTGTCTTCCCCCATCCTTAATGTTTCTTTGAAATTCATAATATGGAGAGATAAATCTCTGCAAGATTTTTCTAGTTGGTTGTTCACATGTTCTCCAGACATGTCTCGTGATTTTCAAGTGTGCCTCTTTTGCTGAATAAGGTACGAGTATCTACTGTAGACGCTCTGGGTCAGATGGTCGGTCTTATCACGCGGACAAAACTGAAATCAGCATTACCAAGGCTTATTCCAGCAATACTTGAACTGTAAGTTCTGTTTTTTTATGCTATCTCAAGCTTTACTTCTCAAAGGTCCATATAATAGTAAATTCGTTGTCTGCTTCATATATTGCTCCACAAGTGAAAGTTTTGCTAAGTTAGAAAGAATTATGTACCAAGGCATGAGATGCTTTTCGTGTAAACTTATCTTTATTTTTAATTCTAATTGTAGTGATCATTCATTCCTTTCTTTCATTTTTTAGGTATAAGAAAGATCATGATGATGCTCTTTTGGCGACATGTAGTCTTCACAACCTTTTAAATGCTTCGTTACTTTCTGAGTCTGGTCCTCCACTGCTTGATTTTGAGGTAATGGTGTTTCCATCATTTTTTGTTGCTAAGGTGCCTCTTTATCTACAGTCACCTGGTACATTGTTGTTTGGATGTGATGCGGTATTGGAACGATAATAAATATTTTGTTATACAATGTCTCAGTTAAGTTTTGTTTCTTGTCAGGACCTCACAATTGTGCTGTCAACACTTCTTCCTGTGATCGGTATCAATAGTGAAAGAAAAAGGTGCTCAGATATTTCAGTGGGACGAAAGGTAAGTCACTGATCGCTTTCATTCTATTTATTGTTGCAGGGTTGGGGTGAGAGTGTGCTGTTAATGCACCATAAAAGTTTCAGGCTTCTATCATGTTTGAGCCTTATTTTGGGAGCGATGTATTAATCTTTTGCCTGTTCTTTATTCTTTT